TGGATGGATGGATGGGTGGATGGATGGATGGATGGATGGGTGGATGGATGGATAATTCTTAACGTCAATGTTTTGTTTCTCAGTCGAATCAGAGAACTTCAAGATATTATCGAAAACACAGAGAAGGTATCCCAGGTGAGAGGGATCTATCGAGGAAAACGCCTGTTATTTTATGCAGATTTCAACTAAGCAAATCATTCTTCTTCTTTCTTCTACGTCTCCTAATCCGCCTTCTCATCTCCTTCCTCCTCTTACTTCACCTCCTCACCTTCCTCCTTCTCCCCTTTCTCCTCCTCCCCTTCCTCCTCCTCTCCTTTCTCCTCCTCCTTCTGCTTCTTATCAACCTCCTGAACACTTTCTCTTTTTCTCCTCTGCTTCCCTTCTCATTTTTTTTCATTCTCTTTTCTTTGCCACTTTTTTCTTTTCCTTTTTTAGCATTGTTATCCAATGTATATTTCCTTTATCATTCTGCTTTCTTCATCCTCTGCTAGAGCACGGTGGCTAGAGGAGTGTACTCCATACTGTTTTCGTTTTTACATTCTTTCGTATTTATATTGTAATTCAGAGTAACACAGAACTACTAACTAGTAAACTGAGCACAAAAACACAAGAAGTCAACGCCATTCGAACAGAAAACGAGCAGTTACGGGTAAGAAATGTGTTGCATGGTGTCCTTCAAGGCTCAATACTTGGTCCTTTTAAATTGTCTAAGCCTCTGCAATACTTCCATTGAGTATTGGCTATTTAATCATTCAACAGGCAGACATTGCTGCACTGGAAGATCGCATGCATGACGAGGAACAGAGAGCAATGAATAAGGTTAGACTACATTTAAAAGACGGGAAAAAACTTCTTTAAATTTCAAAGTCTTCACTTTTTACGACGTACAAATCATTCAACAATTAGCATTCCCCCCCTTTCTCTGTTAATGTTGTTGTGGCTATAGAGCTTTTAAGTCGTGACGTATTTCCGGGTCCAACTGCTCAAAAATGTCGCTAAAACGAAGCGAAAAATTCTCTCAATGATTTAACCTCCACCTGAGATAACTAGAACTTTGGACGAGAAATTCTCTCATGAAGAAAAGGTAGGAAGGGTCACGGAAAGGTTGGCGAAAAGGGGATCACGAAAAATCAACATTATACTGTAGTAACATGGAGCTTCAAAGTCAAAAAGATTGGTAAGAAACACCACCTACGCACCTCGCTAATGAAAAATGGATGGTCCAAATCCCATAAGTTGAGTTTTATTTTCACTTCATCCCTCGTTTCTATCATACAAACCCAGCAACACATCAGTTTGTTTGTTCCAGGAGCAAATCCAGGTAGAACTTCGAGACGAATTAGGCAGCCTTCTAAATAGTATGACGCATTACGATAGCTTGGTAGACCAATATAAGAAGAAGGTAAATAGATACTGACAGAACAGGGAATATATCATATAATGTTGCCTCTACAGGCAGAAAAGTAGCATAGAAACTATAGTTACTTGTTGTTAAGGACATCAGATTTTAAAGGGTGGGGGGTTGGACAATTTATTTTGTGCAGGAATTTTTTACGCCTCATGGCTGTGCAGGAATTTTTTTTGGATTTAATTTGGAATTTTTTCTGGCACTTTTCTTATGCAGGAATTTTTTTCCCTACTCTTTAAAGCTGTGCTCGAAT